GTACTTTTACTGTCCAAATTTATCAATTTCGCTTGTCTAATTGATTTTATTCAAGTTCATATTTTGTGTTAAGTATGTTTTTAATAACACGTGCCATTCAGCCAGTCCTGCGTATATAAGTGAAAAGCTTAGCAAATGTGATGCCCGGTGCGTGCTGAGTCAATTGTCGCACGATCGTTCACATTTGCATTCAGGCTCACACCCATTTAATTCACAGCACACACTATTATAGAATGTGTTGACAGTTAGTTCTGAGCTATCGCTTCCAGATTATAACGGTTTATCTATTGTAACAGTTTGTCACGTCTATTGTTTTTGTTTCGTTGGAAGTATGTAGACGGAATTGAGTTTGAACGATCTACCCGGCCTCGTAACGGAAACGCTTCGATTGATTTTGTCGGTTTGTATTTTATAATCCACAATCTATCAACCCACCTTGCGTTTTAACTCTTTTTTTTATATAGGATAGGGTGACAAACGAGCACACAGTCCACCTGATGGTAAGTGGTTGCTGTGGCCCATAGACATCTACATTTATCTTCGTTTGTGAATCAAAATGCAGATTCGTTGTCATCCGTGAGGATTAAGATAGAATGCCTCTTTTCCAGTAAAATGGGTCTCCAGTTCTCGTTACACTCACCATACGAAACACAGCAGTTTTAAGCTGCTATTTTACACTGGTATTCTGTGAGAGCGTGGTCCTTCCCCGGTCGACCCTACCCATTCGTGCTACAACTATACTACTAATATAGCTGCAGCATGGCTCTACCACGTATAGGCCTGCAGAAGTGCTACAGCTTGGGCGCTTATTTCAGACGGAATACGAGTAACCATAATTTTTTAGTCAATAATCAAAATTGACGCAAAGTTCAGGTTAAATAATATTTTTATGAAATTAATTATTAGATCCAATCTAAACGAATTAAATAAATTTAACCGACTTCAAAAAACGGAGGAGGTTCTCAATTCGACTGTATTTTTATGTGTTACCTCAGAACTTTTTTTAGGTGAACCGATTTAGATGATTTGATTCTTTTATTTGAAATTTGGTGCTTGTTTTGTTAATTTGATAAAGATCTGACCAGTAGTTTTTGTTATCCTTAATAATGCGTATTTTATTGACTTCGACTACATTGATGATATTCTCATTTTATTTATATTTAAGTTCTGTTGCACAAAATTTAATTAATAAATTAATTTTATCTCTTGTTTCTCCCTTTATTGGTAATACTCTACCGGTGAATAGCCATAGGCTTCTCACATTTCCGGATGAATACCAGCTATGCCCTATCTGGACATGTTTGCTTTAAAAGTTTAAAGTTCTATCGAACCCGTTGCACATAAATTATTTCTTCAATTTTACTAATATATTTTCTCAATTTTACTTTTAATTTCACTTAATTTTTTGTTATTAATGAAACTTTATTTTCAACATTGATACAGTACTTCGGTAACTTCTAAAGCCCGTTTATTTAGTCTTCATCATCATCATCATCATTACAGCCCTTCACAAGTCCACTGCTGAACATAGGCCTTCCCCAAAGAATGCCACAAAGCACGGTCCTGAGCCACCTGCATCCTCGACTTCCTGCATATCTTACCAGGTCGTCACTCCATCTAGTGTGGGGACGCCCTACACTTCGCCTGCCGGTACGAGGCTGTCACTCGAGAACCTTTCTTCCCCATCGGTTGTCGGTTCTTCGAGCTATATAGCCGGCCCATTGCCACTTCAGCTTACTAATCCGTTGGGCTATGTCGGTCACTCTGGTTCTACTGCGGATAACCTCATTTCTAATTTTATAACGCAGAGAAACTCCGAGCATAGCCCTCTCCATAGCTCGCTGAGCGACCTTGAGCTTCCTCATCTGGCCAGCAGTGAAGGACCACGTCTCAGTTCCGTATGTCATCACTGGCAACACTCACTGGGTGTACAGTTATTTAGTCTTGCTAAAGCATTATGTTATAAATAGTCTAATTTAAGAGTTTGTTGCTGTGCAAACATTGCAAGATTTCGTTCGTTATTCATTCAACAATTCAACAATAGCCCGATCACTCTACAGTTGATTTTGGATTTAATGTTAAGTCCATACAAATGACAACCGATTTCAAATGTGTTACGGAAAATCGGTATTAGCTTTTATGAGGTTACTGAAGTTTCCTGCATGATTAATTAATGAAGTAGAGAGAGTTGAGAGGATAAGAAGTCATAACGAGCTAAAGTAATTAAGTTGAATATATTTTTATTTAATTAAATTATGTTGTAACCAATGTAAGCAATCAATATATTTTGTTTTAATTTATATCCGTGGTCATGCCGTAATGCATCATATTATAGCTATATTATTAATGGCGTGAAATAGTCAGCATAATTATTCTTCTGTGATTCGCTGTGTGCTGTAACATGGAATTAGACGCTATTTTTACTGCTATGCGGCATTACAGCTAAGTAAGTCCATAGGGGTAATAAAATCATCTACATTTTCATTCTTAATGTAACATAGATATGGAATTCTATGGACCATAAACATCCACTTACCATGGAGTGTACTGTTTGTCGAGTTTTTAACCGACTTATAAAAGAAGGAGGTTAACAATTTGACTGTACTTATAATTGTTGTATGTTTGTTTGTGACGCGATATCTTCATTAATTGTAAAATTTATGAATTATATTTTTATATATAATTTATTATTTTAATAATGGATTTTGAGGATTATTTTTTTAATAAATAGATTCTACGTCAAGGGTGATCCCATATAAATTAGGAGAAAAAATTCCACCCCCTTATTGGAAAAATAGATGAAGTTTTTAATGTAAGTATGACAGAAATTTCGATTGTGATATAAATCACTTTTAAATGTGCCTTTTCTTTTAAGGTGCTAAGACATTAGAAGAATCAAAGTCCCGACTTCAGTATGTGAAATTATTTTATATTCTTTCTTTTTCTTCTTTTAATAACGTTACCCCCACATAAGGATTTTCTCCTGTATCGTGGAGGCAGTTTACAAACATTGCTATTTACAAACGCAACTACTCATTGCTAAGCCACTGCGCCACGGAGCCGTCAATTCTTTTTAGTTTTAGAAAGTTTTTACTTTCTACCCCTATCTATGTAATAAAAAAAAGATGTCTGTGCTTAGTCATCACTATAAATTACACTTTATGTTCTGTTACCCACTAATATCTCATGGTTCAAAATAAATAAACACTCGCTACTTACAGTAATGCAGACATCAATCAGTTTTATGTGTCGGCTTATGTTCCTTGCAAAGCGCTCTCCGAGTCGGTCTAATTGTCTTAAACGTGGCTGCATAGCAGATAGATAGAAGTTGCTTTTTTCTCTGCCATATTTTAATTGTGTCTGATAGTTGCCGTGCTTCTGAGTAAACTAATTAGTGTCACAGTGAACGTGCTCTATTTTTATTCGTGGTTCATACAAGGGAAAAAACAAGCGAAATATTTTAGTTTACTTGATTAATGGCGGATTTTCTTTCGGTGAATGAGTTATATCGCCCAATATAACTCATCCACCGAATAAATTGTAACCTAACTGAATTATTATATTCATTGAACTGTATTGAATAAAATTACTTTTACGGATTTTTTCGCGTTTAATTCGACTAATATTTAATGGCCGACGTTATCGGGTGCTTTGCAGCGCCCATTGTCCCCCATGTTCAAATTAATCGCGATAAAATCGGTAAAAGTAGTTTTATTCAATGTGTAGTGTTCGCGTAAATATAAGAAATTATCATTGAAATATAACTAAATTTATTTATTATTGTATTTTATCCTATAAATAAATTTTATCTGAGGATAGAAATGTCGGTCCTTACATATTTCATTTTTATTATATGATACAATAATTGGTTGTCTATAGAATCGGAAATATTTTGGTGGCTAGTAACGTCTTACGAAATTATTTTTATTGCTTATTCTAATTAAGTAATTAATAACAGCCATATGTTATCGATCTTAAGATAATCTATCATCCCATATCATCCCCTGTGTGACGTAAGTGACGGAAATAGGAATAGGCCAGAAGGGCGTCATGACAAATAGCTTTATGGCATCTCGTATAATATGTCGCATGTCAAATACTCAGCAGTGCGATTGTGTAACTCTGGTGGGGAACGTTCGTCATTCGGAATCACTCTGCAATTGCTTTAATATCAATAATATTTTGTAACTCAAAATAAGGATATGACAATATCAAATAGAATAAGGATATAACAAATTTATATGGGACCACCACTGCGGGTAGCTCCTTTTTAAGAAAAAAAAAATCATTGAAATCAGACGCTGAACCTACATAAAAATATTCCGACGAATTGAGAAGCACCTCTATTTTTTTTTAATCAATTCAAAACTATTAAGTTTTGTATGAACTGTATATTAGAAAAAGGTAATTTTTATCATATCTAGAAGTTGACCTATAGATGATAAAAATTGCGTCGCCACGTCTATCGAACTCTCGCTCATTATTAGTAACCTTCGGCTTCGGTTAAAACTTCGGCCGATTTTAGTTGAAGCCGAAGATTTCGCCGAAGGTGGCCAAAGCCGACACTGAAGCCGAAGCCTCGGTCGGACACTATTTTTCAGTAAACTTTTTTACGCAGTCGGGTTTTATAATTTAACCATTGGCTTTGTTCACTAATGTTGTCTTTAGTGTGATACCTACCAACCTATTTTGATAACCAGAACATGACCTAAGATCAGTGCAGTTGTAATTCTTGATATGTAATTTAAAAGAAAGCTTAAACTAAATTCAAAATGGTCGTTATGTTAAAAATATAATATAATATACATTACGATTCAAAATTATCGTTACGTTAAATATATCTTGCACATAATATTTACTACCATGTTAATTTAAGGAAAACTATAATTGGCATTAGAATGTCTATTATTATAATATGCTAAATATTTTCCTCAAACAAATAAATAAATATTCTTGAATAGTTAACCGACCTTTCCGTTTGGTTACAGCTCGACGCCGCCATGTTTAACTTCATGAAGAAATCAACGGTCCTAGCTCATGATTCCGGCGGCTGCGAGGAGCGGGACGGTGATAAGGAAAAAAGAAAAAAAGAGAAAAAAGAGAGAAAGGAGAGGGAGAAGCGTGAAAGGATTGCGGCTGGTCTTGAAGAGCCGCTACGTTTAGAAGAGGTGAGTTGTTATAAAAGTGCAGTGTATTAGCTTTAGCAATTTTATATTTCACACTTTGTTTTTTGCCTGATGATCCTCCCAAACAAACAACATGCATTTAAAAAAAATAAAGCCCAAACCGTACTGGAATAGTCGTGTCACAGATACTATTTGCGCTTAGTGCGCGGTAAGAAGTTTTATCGAAATAAATTATTTAAAATTAAAAATTTTGTACTGCCGACTTCAATATAAGTTATTAAGAATAACTCAAAAACTATTGGTCTGACCTTGATCAAATGCATATGGGACTACACGAGAAGTACCAGCTTTGAAATAAAAAAAGAATCATATAAATCGGTTCACCCAGTAAAAAGTTATGAGGTAACACACATAAAAAAAACATACAGTCAAATTGAGTACCGTCTCCTTTTTGGAAGTCGGCAGAAAATACACTTTTTCGCTACGCACACGAAGTATTCGCTTATGTGGTATTTATTACGATTTGATTTCATGGGTTTTATTTGTTTTTCACGCGGAACCCTTATTCTTTTTCTAAAGTAAAAGTAGCTTAAGTTACCCCTTATAACATCAGCTATCTGCCAGTGAAAGACTCCTCGAAATGGGTCCAACCGTTTTGGAGATTAGCCGGAACTAACAGACAGACCGACAAATAGACAGACAATTTTTTTTAAATGTTTTTGTTCATATATACTTTCATATGCATAAAGTAAAAAACTGTTATTTTGACATTACAAACTTACACTTCAATTTTATTTATTTGTCATCTATACAATGTATAGATAAATCTCAACTACACATTGCCAATTGAAGTCGGTACACACTTAGGATTCCGTACCCAAAGAGTATACGGAGTCCTATTAATGTCACTTTGCTGTCAGTCTTTATATCGGTCTGTCTGTCAGTCCGTCTGTTTGTCAGTCATTCTATTCGCCGGTATGTCAAGGATCTCTAGTTTATGGGTGGAATAAATTACGGACATCAGGTCTTTGGATTTAGATTCATTAGACTATTTTGTCGTAGAATTTTAATCCAAAACCGAACATTGCATTAGAAACTTAATTAAATTATTTTTATTTGAGGTCCAATACATGAAAAAGGAGCTGATTAGTTTTTTACCTTAGCATGTAGGATGTCATTGAGTAGGCGGCAGTCTACCGCTGGACATAGATCTCCCAAGGCGCGCCACTTAGCCCGATCTTCGGATTCACGCACCATCATAACGTTGTACCGTACTTCTGCTGCTAAATATAGGCCCTCATTATCTGATTTTTGGGTTTTTGCTCATCTCACCCAGTCATGCGATGAACGATGATACATTACGTGAGACGATAAGGCACTTGAGCATCGGCATTTTGTTTTATGAAATAAGCAAACTGAGCGGGTAATACATGTCTGCCAATGTTTTTAAACACCTTTCCACAATGGTTGACACCTGCCTTACAGTACAGCGATTTCAGCACCTGCGCTTGCGGAAGCTGTTCGCGTATTGGATCGACTTTTTGTCCTTATTTCGGTAGCTTACCGTTAAATTACTTTTTGACATCTGTCGATGTTAAAATGTTATTTTTACCTTAATCAAATTTTCCGAGTGAACGTGGAATATCACATAGTAGGCCATTCGTAAACATAGTCACGAAGAAAATTTATATTTATCAGGCTTTTTATAAATCAATAGACTCATGAAAAGGTGCTTTATTGCAATAGTGAGGGTGGGAGCGCCGTGGCATCTTATGGAACTGTGTGGTCGTTTTCAATTTAATTTTGTACGCGAGCAACCTCAGATTGAACCCCGCCAGCACCACTGAAGTTTTTAATCACAATCTACAGAGATACTACTTTTTAAAACCGAAGTGACACACGAACTTGTAGTGGAGCTGATGGTACGTAGCTACTGTAGTTCATGGATAGCTACAACCAATTTTAAACAAATAAGGCTCTGAAGACGATGATGGAATGCCTCAAAGCGTGTAAATTATACATGAATATAAATAGGAGGTACCTTCCTTCACAATCTTCGGTAGTAAAGAAGTTCTTCTTCACCTAGTAAAATGTGTATGTATTGAGAAAATGTCTGTGAATACCCTATCAAAAAGGAGAAGAGGCTAGTGTCCTGTTATGGGGCCTCTGTTGGAGTTATTTTTATATTAACGATTTGGTCAGCTGATGAAGTAGTAGTGTTAAGGCAATTTAACTGACTGGTGAACGATCGCTTAACCCTGTGAATGCAATATGTTTCAACCCACAATAACAAACTTATTTAGATTTGAAAGATCTTTTAAGAGACCTTTTAACATCATGTTATGGTTATTATTTTAGAGAGAATTGAATGTAGATTTTGGGATTACTTGTTATTTTTCAGAAGTCTTTCATACTTGGAAAAATAGAGCCCATTTGTGTCATTAATTTAGCCAGTATGTGGTATGGATGATTTTTGCCAAACACGGTCCAATCATTATATTGAGCCGAGTAGAAATCATTACTTGCTTGCTGGCCAGATTTAACATTTGAAAAATTTGATTACGGTTTAAAATAACATTTTAAATATCGACTTATATTAAAAAGACATTTAACCGAAACAAGGACAAATACACGATTCGATACGCGGACAGCACGGGACAGACGTAGATAGATGTTTGTGGTTTACCGCCAACTACATTGAATGACGTATTCCCTCCAATATTTTAATGTCCTCAAGTTAAAATGTCAATAAGTTTCGGTCTCAACGGAGACTAGACATCTGCTCAGAACAGGATAATAATGGATGAGTGTGTGCACAAGCACAAGTGTACTAATTTTTCCCTTACTCTCATATTCCAACAATCCAACTGAACAGCAATCCGACAAGACCAGAGAGAGATGAGACGCAGGATCAACGGCTTTACGTGTTTTTCGTGGAACGTGAGTGAAATAACGCCAACTTTCTAACTACGGGCCGCTGCGCTGCTAAGAATTTCTTGAAGAAAAACACAATAACTGATTTTTGGGCTGGACCCAGGTATTCGAACGTGGGGCAAAAACGCATATTAAATTAGAAAATTCTGATATAAAATGAAAAAAATTAGATTATCGAACAAGGGACCAAAAGACCATATGAACATCAGACGCGCTTGCTACCACAAGACCAGCGCGGGCAATAATTTTATAACTGTATTCATTTTAATAAAGTTGTATTTTGGATACTACACCCAATGTGCTATTACTAAAACGTAAAGTTGGCCATGGTTATGGACAAACTTGTTCGTAATTTACGTCGACCCGTAACCGCAAACCGTTGGGCGTGTATTTTTTGCCATTATGCACTATCTAATGTTTTATTTCAATTCAAATGTCAATATATCGTAGACTTCAAGGTTTCGATGTAAATAGTCGTCGTTAGTCACGACTTTATACGATCTTTGCGCCTTTAGGGTGGTGTTAGAATGTAGTTGTTTGTATGATAAAGTTAACTGTGAATATATAAAACTTGACGTAAGGAAAGCTTTGTTTTGGTCGGAATTGAGTGCATATTTTCTCAAAACAAGTTATATCATATATTTTTGTTTTGAAAGCACATAAAACAATCCGAAAGGTTTTAGCGAATGTCGCTCAATTTTCTAATAAAATTGGCGTTTTGTGATAGTTCCTACTTTGATTGATTTTAACAGCTTGTTAAATAATTAATATTAGATTCACTGTCTAATTTATTTATTTCTATTGAATATAACTAATTTTACGGATTTTATTATGTTTATTTTTTATTTGGAATGGTTTACATGATTGAATGAAACACTTTTTACGGATTTTATCGCGTTTAATTTACTTATTTTTTATTAAAAAAAATTAAAATCAACATTTTATTTAAAGCATTTTATTATTATTTTAGCATTTTATAATGGCTACAGTACAAAGGGGTAGCCTAAAGTATTTCTAATTTTCTTTGCATTTTTGTTGTATTAAAATTGAAGTAAGTATCTGCTTTTATGAATGAAATTAATTAAAGAATTTAATTTTGTGAAACTCCATTGAGCAAACGTAAACATAACGTAACGTAAACGCTGTGGCGTAGCTTGAGAATTTTAATGATTTCCGTTTCTTTCAATGAACGATTTTAGTGTGCATGCACATACAAGTAACATGCGCAGCATAGGTACGCGCAGTGCGACACCAGTAACAGTATTGTATGAGACTGTATCGAAGACTATATCGCCCACGTATGTAATACTTGTGAACTTAAACGTGTATAGCTGCAGTGTGACGAAACCTTTATTTTTTCTGGTGTCATATTAATTTGTTACGTGGGATACCTATATTTATAGTCTGATTTACAGATCACCTAGAGCTTCTAAGTTTACGATAACGGACTATACACATAACAGGTTGTGCAAACTTAAATAATGTCAGCCAACAAAGATTTACTTAAATAAATACATTACGTTCACTTAAGTTTTATTGTTTTGTTTGATGACGTTTATGTTTGTTTTTAAGTTATATGCCTCCTTTCATTTCTGGAAGGGCTTAGGGCAAGAAAATGTCCGCGGCGCTGCCTCAATGCGTGTCCGTGCGTTCGCATGCCTTCGATTAATTTCCTAATTTCTTAAAGGCTACACGCTGGTCGAGCGTGCTTGGCGAGCTCGCTCGGCAGATTTTTGTGGTACCGTTCACACGTTGGCGTGCTTCATTCTGCGTTGGTAGCTAGATGATGATGGACGTTAGTGTTCGCGGCCTTATTTTTATGTTGCTCATGTTTGGGGTTCCATATAACTGATTCATTGTGATAAGAATCAATGAATCTAAATATTTCCTCATTAGGCCATGTCGCCATATTCGTGAAATAATTTTATTAAGCCGACACTACAGTCTACTCCGACGCCTAACTACGAACTAAACACTCGGCCAACGTGTGATCGCTGTTTGCGGCTTGCGCCAAATTTCTGCTTATCACAATAAATCTGTTAAATGGAACCTTAAACATTAGCAACATAAAAATAAAACCATCTTCTTATGCGCCATCTTTTTTTAAT